CACACACACACACACACACACACACACACACACACACACACACACACACAAACACACACGCACCAATCTCACAAAATGATTACACAATGACTATTAACTGCACAAAGAGGTTGACGATGCTATTTAACAAATAATATAACATTTTGGTAATCTATTACTAATTAGTTCTATTACTTAAAGTGATTAAATTACTATAAATATTGAAGCCAGAAAAAGACAACTCCAGCCAAATATACAGACCTTGAATTAAGAAAATGAATCCAAATGTAAACCAACAACATGACAACATGTAAACCCCAACACCAATCAAAAGAGCTGTGGTCACTGTGGTCACAAGTGGTCATGAGTGTAAGTGGTAATTTTCTGCTGAGGTATATGTCACTGACCGACTTATACCGCAGCATCTCTATATATACAGAGTGCTTTTGACAATGCAGGTCAAGGAAGCTGATAATGTTTACAATCGAATTTTAAAGGTAAGTAAGTTTTACATTGTGGTACTTTTACTCAAGTAAAATAACTCCACTTCTACCAAAGCAATCTTCCTCTTTCATTTGTTTATAACATTCAGGTTTTTGCTGTTCTGTTTTGTATTTCGTCCACTCCATTGACTCCACCTCTTTTTTGAGAGAAACTTAAAAACATTATAACATTCATAGACGTAAGATTTATGACTGAGCTGCTGCAGTACTTTTAGACAGAGGCACCAGTAAAACAGGTGGCTGAGTGCATGAGACACAGCTAATCTAATAACTGAGCTACAATACTGCTGGAAATGTGTTGAGGTGACACACACATACATTAGAAGCAAATTTTAACAACCATACTTTAATGAGAAGCCAAAGCATAACTGTAATGCAAATGTAACTAAATACCATAAAGTATGATGAATATTTAAGTCAAAGTGTTTCACAGAAGACCCCCCTCACAGCCCCACTGAGACTCAGGTTAGACAAAAAGACCTAACTTTATTTGTTGCCTCTCATCAACATAAAAATGGCTCACGGAGATTATTAAAGAGAGAAAGACGTAATTATGCTGGAGCCAGCGTCTCAACTCTCATGTGACGTTCAGAGCAAACTGGCTGCTTATGGACTAGAACAATGCAATCCTGCCCCTTATCCATGCTGCCTGATTGACTTAATTGTGTCATTGTTTTTGGAGGGCTAAGTGCTCTGTTGTTTAACACTCTGTTTAGTATGTATGAGCAGCTCGCTGGGTTATTAGGGGTGACTTTATGACAAACAACCCGGGTCTGCAGAGGCCCAGAGGCTTGATTAGAAAGGGCATCACTGCAAACACAAGGCTCTGGTGTGTGTGTGTGCGTGTGTGCGTGTGTGTGTGTGTCGTCTACCTAAACTGGAAATTGTTACTTCGCAGTGAATGCAATGTTTCTCTGGCTGCACAATAAATACTTAGAATGGAAACTGAATATAAACTTTCTCTCACTCAACACAAGCCACTGTGTGGAGTCAGTGTTTTCAATTTCGACATCGTGAACATAAACCACTGATCTAAGGGAGGCAGTTACTGTGATTCAGAGCTAAATTGAGGCTGTCCATCATGGATTTATTAAGTGGCCGCGTAAAGGCCTCCATTCAGCAATAATGAACAACAAATATGATCCTATAAAAGCTTGTAATTTTCCATTTTTGGCTGAAATTTAGAAGGGTGTCGATTCAAATCGCACTTTGCTTTAAATGCCAACATGTTGTGTACACACAGTGGTGGAAGACAACACAACTGTAGTAGATTATTAAAATACTCCTTTACAAATAGTAAAAATGTTACTTAAAGAGATGCTGCAGTGCACACGCTGCAAACAAAGTTATATGTTTTTCAATGATATGCATTAATGCTGGTTTTATATCACATTTAACACCAAATTTATAAAATATCTACATTTATAGGTTGAACGTGAATTATAACACCACCTAATGTTTCAAACTGTCTTGCAGGGCCGATGCTTACATAGGGTCAATGGTTTGTGATTTCTGCAGCGCCGTGCTCACAATTAAGTAGGCTAAGCCCCGCCTCCTAGCCCTGGGTTCTAAAGGCATTTTTTGAATTTCCAGGGAGACGCACTTCAGCCAAAATGTAAGGGTGGAGTAATATTTTAAATAAAAGTAAACAAAACTAATGACCACAATTTATCAGATGTAATTTGATGGTAAGTGGAAGGCCGTATGATTTATATGATATATGATGATGAGATAATGTTTTAAAATTGCAAAAATCCACACAGTATAAACGTATTGTTTTGTAATTATTGGGTTCAGAAGCATTCTTTTTCTGAAAGGCTAGTTTTAAGTCAACTTATTTTTAGAAATAAAAGTAAAATGAAAAGAACGGTAGTGATGTATTTCAGTCAATGCGTTCCACCTTATGCTCTCCCCATCAACGGTTTACCTGCAGACAACCAAAGCATGCTCAGACGTGATTGGTCCCTCCTCTACAGATTCTGCATATTCACACGATCCGTTTATAGACATTAATCACTTTCTGACATGTAGAGGAACATATGTAATAATTACCACAAACTGGAAGCACAAATAAAAAAATATCTCAAATGAAAGTGCCTCAAAACCTGTACAGTCCTGAAGTAAATGTTCTTCCACTGCTAAACTAAGAGAAGCAAGAAAAGCCAGCCTCATATGATCAACTCCTCTGTCAACCACAAGTAACTACAAGTAACTACAAGCTTCACAAATATTGGATTTAAAGCAGTTAAATTGCACAGTTCAGATCTACGTGTAGTACGGAGTCTCAACTGAAGTTAGATGTGTGGTGAAGTGTTTGTCATTTAAGGAGACACCTTAGGTACTTGTTATCGCAGAGCAATATCTCCGCTGGGCTGTTCATACAAATTACACAATCAATAGTCATTTTGTATTATGCTTAAGATGAGACAAATGGCAAGTGTGAGGTACAAATAAGCCTCATGGCAACCGCAGGCGCTATTTAACTCTCTCACCTTGTCGTATGGGCTGGTGTTTGTGATGGGACAGCGGGGCGATGAGGAATTTCATCTCAGCCACGGGGCTCCAGTGGTGCAGGATGCGGACGCTCCACACTCCCGGTCGCAGGGGCTGGTTCAGTGGCGGGCGGTAGTGGGTGAACTCGGCACTGGTGTCGATCAGAATGTCGTAGGTGGCGGCGATGACATTGGTGGGGTCGATCCACACGACCGTGACGGTGACATTGGGTCCTTTGCTCCACTTCTGCATGCCCACCGTCTCATCCATGGGCCCCATTAAGCCGCCAAAGTTTCTGAACATACGCTCTTTGGCATCCCACTCTGCGCCGATCTGACAGCGTGGAGAGAAAGAACAGGGAGAAAAAGAGTGAGTGACAGAATGGGGTAAGAACAGAGACATGACAAGAAGCAAGAAAAAGCACACAAGATTAATATCTATAAATTCACTCCTACTACTGACTGGATATAGTGCACAGTGATCATAAGTAAGTAACCCTCTCTGTGCATGCACCACCATACTATTAAGATAACCAATATCTACACTGAATCATCCCGGGAAATAATCTCCAGCATGCATTTTTCATCAAACAGCACCACGCTGCATCCCAGCCCTCCATTCTGACGTTATATAATCTCTTAACATGCACAAGCTGACAGGCCTGCTTGTTTCATCCTGCACATTTGAGTCAATTTGTCCATAGTTACTGGAAGATCTGTGACGAGACAGAGGCTGAGGAAGCTCTGTGAGTAGAACCAGAGTCTATCCCTGTGAGGTGTAGATCAAACACATCCCTGTGCTCTCTCTGAACTCATCTAAGTGCAATAAAAAGAGAGATGGAAGGCAATGCCCACCAGTATCCAGTGTGAATAGCATTAGTGTAACACATATCTAGTATATGGTGAGGATGAGTAATGACAGTAACCAATGAAAAAAATATATCCAAACAGAGGAAGGCAGTGATGATATCTGACCGCAGCCTTTTTGGCAGAAAAAAATCTGGTTTCGAAGTTTCCATAAAACCTGAGAATGATTTAGTCTCTGCAACAACTTTCACACAAACAAACAGCTTATATGAAGTTTCATATAATATCAATGTAGAATATTACTTTGGTGAATAATGAGATACTGCAGTGCCTATTCTAAACTGCCTGTTTGGAATGGGCTGTTCTCTTGTCCTTGTTCGTGTCATTATTGAGTCCTCCTCAAGCAGTGCTACAAGTTACCGTCAGTCTTTTATTTAGTCTTTTATAGTATATTGCATAAGTTAGAAAACTTTGTGTTCATCCTACATGGTTTATCTGCAATGTGGATTTTATAGTCAATGTGCATGTGTAGGTTTAAATGATATACTGAACTTGTGTTATTTTTTATCATACGTGCTATTTCAGAGGTCTGTTAATCAATCAACACAATCTTCTGATTGCCAAGTGTGAAGCCGATACGGAGAACAATTCCCAAGATATGCGTTCCACATACAGACACACAGACGTTTGTGGAGTTAGTAGGAAGATACATTACGGTGCCTCTGGCTACAGAATGTGGGGATAGCTGAAAGCCTTTAACACATTGGAGGACTGCCAATGGACCAATGAGCCATTAAGATAATACATCTTGTGAGCTTTAAAAATTAACAGTAAGTGTTCACAAGTTTGCTGGTTTGTTTGTTAGACTGAACCGAGAATAACAGGCTGGGTATTTTGAATTTAATCTATTGAACCTATATGATTTAATAAAAGAAAACTGATTATATCCTTCTACAAACATGTATGGCAATTAAAGAGAGAGAGAGAGAGTACATTGCAAGAACAGGAAAGGAACAAAAGCGTAATTTAATGTCGTCATGTACTGTAACTGAAGAGGTGTGATCTCTGTGTGTGTGTGTAGTATTGCAAGGATTGCAAAACTGTGTGGTATGCAAAATGAGAAATGTGAACGCGATTGATGGCGGAGACAGGGTGATAAAGAAGGAGGCAGCACACACACACACACACACACACACGTACTGACAGTGAAAGATGGCTGGCGTGTTGGCAGAAATGTGAGAGGAACGGCGGCTTTAGGAAGCGCTCTTCCTTACAATGGTGGCTGATTAACACAGCCTCATCCCGCAGGACGATCAATGACTGACTGGAACTGATTCTGTATTACATCCTATGAGAATTGAGATTGCAATGTACAGTATAAATAGACACAAGTTGAATAAATGAGCCACACAGAGAAAGGGTGTACATGTCTAGGCCTTCCGTAAAAGACACCTCACTCTCATCTCAATTATTGGACTGACCCCTGCCATTTCTACCCCGTGGACCTTGGTTCTCTTCTCTTTAAATTACTAATCAACTCTCTTGTCTGGCACCTCTGGAGCTCATTACTTTATTCAAGGCTAACTCGCTGGCACCACATTACATCCCCAATTGATTGGCAGCACTCTTGTTCTAAGGCCCAGAAATAAATGGAGGGAGTATTGACAGATGATTCTCACTGTAATCCACTGGAAGAGAGTCTGCAGATTTAAGTTAAAGTTGTGAGAGAGAGATTTTTACTGTGTTCACATGCTGTGGGTAGGAGAGGACCCCCTGAGACCGGCTTCTTGGTCTTGCCTGAAGATTATTTGGCAAGATGCACCCACAAAAAGCAGCATAAATTATGCACAACTCAGTGCAGGAGTCCAAGTTTCACTTTTTCAAACACGTTTGGGCAACGTCCATAGGCTATTCTCTGTCTGCCCCAACACACACATATGCTATGAACACCCAGGTTAATAAAGTTCACACACAATTTGTTCACCGATGCTCAATCCAGACCCTTGTGCCTATGGAAATACGAGACATTATTCCGGCCAAAAAGTTTCAAATGCTTTACATTGACCTATTCTATTTCTATGCAGAGCTTGGGGTGCAAATGCCCACACAAAGATTGTCCACAGCATTGTTACTATGTTGGCTAAAAGTTTGCTGGAACATTTTAACTACATTCCAAAAGTTTAACACTTTCTTGGTGATTAAATCTGAGGTATATGTATGGGTGACAATGGAAGCAAAGAGAAGCAAGACATTTTTTCTTCCAGTATGAAAGTGGGTCAAACAGGGATTAACTTCTGGCCCATTTCAGCCTCTGCCTATAGCTTAAGATGACCTCCACACTTAACCTGTCCCTTTCCGCCACTACCCAATAAGCTTTAGCTTAAGACCAATACTCAATCAAGCCTTACAGCTGCTCACCAAGTCTGTAGCTCATGACCTTCTTTCGCTTATAGCTATACTACGCTTTTGTGGAACTTATGCTGATCTGCTAACGTCATCGTGACCTCTACCCTACCTCCCTTTTTCAGTTTACTTTTTTTTTTGCTCTGATAGATTTAACAGGTTTTCTGTTCTTTACCAACAGTTACTAACAGCTCTTGTTAGTTTCTGCATATTTTATTTTTCTTCACCACTGCCTCATCATGTAGTTTACTCATATTCCTTGTTTCATCCACTGCTCAATTCCCTGTCTGACATTATAGAGAACATAAAATGATCCCATCTCATAACCCATCTCTTTTCCTTTTCTTCCTTCTGACACTGCGACCTTGCAAACCTTTCATTACTCTACGTCATAGGCTTGCCGGCGCCCAAAGTCTGACACGTCCAATAAGACAGGTCAGTTTGATCAGGCAGTGGCGTGGACAGTCCCAGTCTGCATCTGACCCTGATTAAAACCACAGGGCACAAATGTCCCTTGAAGCTCTGTACAGAGACTTATTAGTGGCACTTTTTGTGAGGGGGTAATAAAACCCAGGTGTTCACCAGAAGCAGCAGAAGACTCCCCCAGGGCATCATTTACACTACTGAGGGATTATGGGTAAGACGGATGGATGCTACCTAACACATAAAAACTCCTGTGTCTTTTTATCCCAGAAATACATTTAGACTACGTTCATTTCAACTCTGAGCAAAAAAGTGTCTTTGCTTTAAAAATGTATTCTAAACAGGAACTTTCTGAATGCAGATGAAACAGGAAGTAGTCCCAGCCACACACCAAAGAAAAACTGTCCATGCTCTAGGTCAACCCCTCTTTTTAAGTCCGTAAGAAAACACGTAGGTGTCAGTGTGTTTTAAGTGAGTTGATAAAATATGTCAAATGTTTTATCAACTATCAATTTTTGGCTCCTGATTTTTTAGAAAGGGGAAATAATTTGTGGTTTATATAAGAGGAGGGGAAATACAGATCCCATAAAGAATGTTAAAAATTAAATCTAAACATGGGGGAATATTAAGAAATTATCTCACCAGTTGGATCTCCAAGATGATATATATACAGTTGATGACTTCTGTGTACATTTCACAGTCACATTTTAAAGGCTTGACACAATTATAGAACATCTTTAAGTTTTAAATATAAAACAGTCTCATGCTACATTTTTAGACAAACGTGGATTTGACTCTTCTGTAATTTTTCAGGTTTTAATTTGTGAAGTTGTTTTATTGGATTAAATCATCATGTCAGCTGTTGTTGTCTCCCTCTATACATCATCTACCATGATATCCTTGTGTATATGTGGTAGAGCAAGGACTAAACCATCAGTCAAAGCCAGTCATTCTACTGTTTAAGATTTATCCAATGCAGCATAATATACTTCTCAATGTCAAATCTGACTTGAGGTGAAATACTAATTTTAACAGTGCCGGCTGTAAGTGGTCCTACACTAAATCATGCTGTAAAAGGGTCTATAAAGGCAGCTGGGAGGCAGCAGTGGAGTGAAGAGAAAGACATATCTGTCTTCCTTTATATCTCAAGGAGGACAGGAAACACATTGTAAAGCCGACCATATGGTTTATGTTCCAAACTCCAGCATATAGCTTAAATGTAACGGGTCATATCTGCTAAGTTGACAAAAAGCACGGAGCTGTTACAGCTATGCCGCGCTGCCTAACTTAAGCTCTTTCTGCTCTCGTTTGGACTGACGGATGGACAGACTGTCTGACTGACAGCCATTACACAGCTCTACACTGCCAACGTCTCCTTGGGCTGAGCATCCAGATAAAGCTCACATCGTTTCTTCTGTCACTCATGGTTTCATAGTCTTGACGCAGAGCTGCGGCTTCATCCATACTACTACCTTTTCGTTTGAAAGCAGCGTTATTAAACTAAAACGATCCCTGTCCACACAAGCATTTTGTCACCGTATCAGTTTTAATCCTGTCCATAACAACATGCCTGAAACTGCATACCAAATGACCACTCATGTGCACTGGGTTTGCATGTGCCAGTGTAAACAGGAAGGCATGTGCGTGCCATACAGCTGAAAACACAGCTGGACATGGTACAATAACAGTCTACTACACATGTAAGCAGTTGTATCATTGTAAAATGCAAAATTCTACTGCACAACAGTTGTTGGCAAAGAACTGGATGAACAGTGCTTGTAAATGATTATCCATGTTGCAGCACCAAAGTTTGCAAACTAGAGTCGGTTGCAGAGTTGATGTGTTTTCAAACAAAAACCAATAGTATGGATGTAGCCTCTACATGGAATCTGGATCCCTTTGAGTTTATTCTGAGGCTGTTGGAAAAGTTGGACCAGGGTTAAGCTGTGTGACTGTGATCCAAACACGCAAACAATGCAAACAAATCCATTCACAGATCGTTTGGCATTTCTGCCTCCGACAAAGCCTTGCATGATAAACCAGAGAAAAAGGTCAATTTACATTCACTCAGTTAATTTTGTCCTTTTTAAGAAGACACTCGGTTGCTGTCACATCACAGCCGAGTGGCTGTATCCTAAACAGGCCTTGTGGTAAACAGAAACACAGATTAACATAACAAGACAATCAAGGGAAGCATTCCAGTGTGAAGGTGAGAAGACGTTCTATTAGGAAACAACAAATAAGCAGCACAGGACGCGCTCATCCCTATAAACTTAGATGAATTCAATCAATTTACATTTTACAAGGCCATTACAGGCACCATTTTAAATGTGTGGAGATGCAGCGCTGTGAGTCTTGACAAGGTCGCCATAGCAATGAATATGAGGTCACCATGGCAATGAGCTGTATATCTCACCTCTAATTACATGCTGAATAGCGGTGTTTTTCCTGTGTGGTGCTTCGGGTTTTAATTGAGCTCATTTCCTGACACTGGCAACTGCTGACTGATTGTTTTGTGACTCATGCCAAACCAGTGACTTAAATGGTAATGAAAAATACATGTGATGCCAGACGAGCAAATACACTGACTCACCGCCGCAAACTGCAACCTGCTGAACGTGCTGCTTGCAGGGCTGCTCAGCTTGAAGTTCTTCTTGGGTGCCACCCACGTCTCCATGGTCTCCAGCTTGCTCGTGGCCAGGTTGGTGGCGTGATGCTTGACCAGGTAGCCCTGAAACTGGTCCGACTGAAAGTAGAGATGCACCGACACCGGGTGGCCCATGGGGAAGTACCTGGCAGAGCATGGAAAGAGTGGGAATCTATTAGCAAGCCTGATATCGGCCCATCTACCTGCTGTGCCACTTTTACAGGGCCAACGCTGTAAGAGGAGAAGAATATCGAGATTCATCTGGATACTGCCTGGAGGGGGCGGCCTTGGACATGCTAATGTGGCTGGATGCTAATTTATGCTCGCAGTGAAGGTTAGTGGGGAGTCGATGTGTTCTGTGTGTGACACGCTGGACATTAATTCAGTGACCTTTAACAGAAAACCAATTGTCAAAGACGCGCGTTGACCATACTGATGATTCCCTTTAAACGTTACTTCCATGTACTCCTGGTGATTTTAATTATTTTTATGCTTGTACACACTCTTACAGTAGATAAAAAAGTAAGGGGCTAGTGAATACTTAATTAAAGCTGAGGTACCTTTGAATTCGTCTGAGTAAGTAAATAACAAACTTCTTCCACACTAGTGAATGCCGTACAATGTGACGGTTGCCGCAGCAGTTGCTGTGGTTGTGAAGCGGAGAGGATGACACGAGACGGTCGAGACCGCAGCAATCTGCGAGCGACAGAAAATTACAGAACAGTCATGGGCTGCATTGGCAGCAGATTCAGATTAGTCAGAGCTCTGAACACACACACACACACACACACACACACACACACACACACACACACNACACACACACACACACACACACACACACACACACACACACACACACACACACACACACACACACACTGTGTGTTATAAGTCTGCTGAACAAAGTTGAACTGGGTCATCCAGTCAGCTGAAGCCAAATGAAGGTCTTGCCCCTCTGATTAGTCTGTTGTTCTGTTTGTGTGTTGACTCGTACGTGGCAGAGAGCCGGCCCTCGGGGCGGCCGGCCAGAGTGACTTCTGGAAAAACAAAAAAGAGTGGAGGGTGGGCACTGCTGGGGAACACTGCACAGCTGCTCTCTGCACACACCCCGCCTCACCCAGATTTCTCATCCTCCGTCTCTTATGCTTCCTTACACTCGTCTTCATTCCTCCTATTTACTCACACACACACACACAAACACACACAGACACACTGCCTCCCTAGTGCTCATGCCCTCATCAGTATTCTACTACAGGACCAAGAGTCAACCCGTCCCAGTAAATGCTACCCTGACAAGCAGAACAGCAAATATTTACACCCAAAAGGATAGCGGTGCACACTCACTCCTCCCCTGATGCCTCTTTCTGTTTCTCCTCTCTGTTCCCCCATCTGCCTCCCCCTCTTTACCCCTCTCCTCCTTTCATCCTGCTTTCTGTGCCTCGTCCCTCGGCTCTCCTTCCCCCGCTGCCCTGTCTTTCCCAAAAGAGACGTGGTGTTGATGCCAGTGTGAGACGCAGTGAAAAGGGGGCCAAGGCGTAGCCGACACAGAAGCTCCATTCAAGCTTTTACTCCACAGTCTCTTCCAGTCCAGTCACAGAGGATTTCTTAAAGAGCCAAATCCCTCTCTATGGCCTTTCCCTCTCTTTGACTCCCATCTCACTCCCAGGCTGATCCATCCATCTGTTGGGAGCACATCTGAATGCTACAGGCATGCAAAATACACTTAGCCACACTAGTTAGTTTATTTACAGCACCGAGCTAAAACTAACACAGTCTACACAGAACATGCCCTCCAAAGTGATCATCTTGTTGAACTAACACCTCTTTCACAAAAAGCAGTGGTGGTAAGAAAGTGCATTTACTTAGTTACTGTACTTAAATATATTTTAGGTGTATCTGTACTTTACTTAATTGATTTATTTTCAGGTATTTTTCACTTTTACTCCACTATATATATCAGCAAATATCTGTACTTTCCACTCAACTTGATTTTATACTGCATTACGTTTCCAATTATTATTTTTGAGGAATAATACTAGTAACAGTAGACCCTGCCTTCTGCAGCAGCAACACTGGTGAAGAAACACCTGAAATGGATTTGGAAGAGGCCACTGCTGTATCATTTAAAGTGTTTTTGGTCTTATAATCTGCAGCATTAGTAATTAACATGACAAGAGGGTATTATTCTCAATATTAAACTTGATATATAGTAGGCAGCCCATAATTTTACTTTTAATGCTTTAAAAACAAATACTACTTTTACTTAAGCAGGAAAGGTAATATGGTTCTTTTACTTGAGTATATTTTGCCTATTTATTTGTACTTTTACTTACGTAAAATATTTCAGCACTTTATCTACCACTGTTAAAAAGAAGGATTTATTGCAGGACTGCATTAGTTTTAGCTAAACCGACAACTGAGTGTATGTGGCCAGTGGCCACACCCACAGACACACACACGACACACAAACACATACCGGCTTGAGATACAACAAAAGGGACACATTTGCATTTTGCCAAATGAGGACTCATGTGCTGTGAAACACTTTGGTCTTAAAAGCAAACACTTGATTGGATTTAATTACTCGGCTTCATCAGTGAAATTCCAGATCAATAAAACAAAAATAAGAAGGCTCCGGGCAGACAGGCCTTGTGCAGTCGCACCACACACCTCGTATATTTAATTATTAGGCCTATAAACCAGACTGTGGCTGATTTAATAGAAACTCACCAGACTCATTTTAACTTTTATTTCTCCTCTTTGTTCTGAACAATGTCTCACTGCAGCTCTGTGACCAAATCATATACTTGTCCTATTGCACATTAAAGATTATTTAATATAGAGAAACAGAAGAGAAACAGAAGAGAAACAGAAGAGAATTATTATTATTATTCATGGCCTCCATCCAGTAATGCTACAATAATCCATTTTATGACAGAACACATCATAGACCAAGTAGTACTAGTACCCTCTCTGATTCTGTGTGTTGTAATAACTTCAGAGCAGCAATAAGTAATGGGACAAAAACCTGGTTTTCAAAGATCCACAGGTAATCATTGTTGAAATAAGGGCACCTTTGTGGGACTCAGATGTAATGGTAGTTAGGTTTGCCACTGATTATTACTGTCATTATTGGGTAATCTGCCAATTAGCTGCTTTTTCATTTTTACCTGCGAAATTCCAGAATACAGTAAAAGACAACAATTTGGTTTTCAAATGTCTTATTTTGTCTGACCAACACATAGACTGTATATAAAGAGGACCAACATTATAAATTTCAAAATATTATACAAACATTAAACCCCATATCCGGGAACTCAGACATTAAACTTAGCCATTTGCTTGAAACCTTTTTTTATCTAATGTTACACAGGAGGTAAAATCTGCCAATGTTGAGTAAGTTTACATGTTTATTCTTCCCTGAGTCATTTATTGTTAAGATTTATGAATTGAAATTTGAAGTTTAGTCCTAGCACCATGTACCATCACGCAATATCTTCTTTTCACATTTCCTGTGATTTGAAATTTTTCACAAAGTTTGTGTTCAATTGACTCCACCATGATTAAAATGCAATGAAAGCACTATCAAGTGGTTTTCAAGGGAAAGACTGTAATGCAAAATTCACACACCTCACAGACAGCATTTTCAATTTGCAGTTTGCGAGGAAAACTTCTAAAATGCCCTGAAATTCACCCATGAGGCTAAAGACAACTCCCACACGAGGCCACACTTCAGTTGTCTATATTTTACACACACACACACACACACACACACACACACACACACACACACACACACACATACACACACCAACTAATGTCGAATACACAGACACATCAACAGGTTCATTCTTGAGTCAACTGCATAAACACTTACACATACAAAACTTAGACTATATACATACAGACACACACATTTTCAATTTCCTTGCTCAGTGACCTTTGACCTCTGAGCTAATTTAAAACAGTTACACGTAAACGTTAAAAGACTGGCTTGTTTGTAAGGTTTGTTTGGAAATACTTTTTCTCACTGGCTCATTTCCTGGCAATGGCAGAAATGTGGAGACCCCCACGTTATGTCAAATACACAAATACACTCATATTCACAAACGGACATTTACTGTATGTAACCACCTTTCCCATGGTCTGCTCTCGCTCTGTTTTTTAACAGATGCAGTGTATGAGTAGGAACAGCTGTAGTGGAGAGATGGTTTTGAGGTTTGACAGATGGAAACATGTTTCCTTTCTGTGCTTGGCTACAGGACAGAACACCCACAGTGCAGCGGGGGGGTGGTGGTGGAGCACTAATCACTCGGCTACTACACTTACAGGGAGAAAACCATCTCAGATGACACTTGATGATAGCTTTATGTCGCCTCCTCCTCTACAACTGTGAAGCTGTTTTCAGACATGAACTCTGGAAAATTGGTACGACATTTTCCTGGAGTTTGACACATGAAGAATGCAGCAGGAGATTGTCCAAGTCACACATGTTCATAACAACAGGAAAACGTCCAGAGCGTTCAGGCGAGCAAGCAGGAGGCGGAACATTTTTGCTTATAACAAATCCATGGCGCTTATCACCAAAAGCTAAGTCGACTATCTTCTTTAGCCTCTTCTCTTTTTCATCTTGATATATATATATATATTCTTTTAGTTTTTTTTTGTTTTGCGTTCGTCGAGTGATAAAAAAACTTAATCTAAACAGCCACTCACTCGCTGTGAATCTTTGTGATTTTCTTGCTGTTTTCTCCCATGAGCTCACTCGGAAATTCTCCGGACATTTCACTGGTGGTGGGTAAGAAAAGCTCTGGAGAAACTGACTCAGATATTTGCATTTTCAGATATAGCCACCCAAGATAATTTCGGGAGAACATCTGGAGTTTAAATCGGTCAATCTGAGAATTTGTGAAAATTTCCTGAGTAGACCAATAGGAATTGTCAGCTAAGATAACAACCCACCAACAAAATGTAAAGCAGCTTAGAACACAGCATGTCTTCATATAGCGTTCAAAGTGTTTTCCTTCATTTTTTTGTTTTATTTGAATTGTCATATCCTTTCTCAAGAGGGTAAAAGTCTTAATTGTTGCCATCATTAAGAATAATGTCATCTTAATGTTTTTATTCTCTCCTGTTGTGTTTCTCTGCTTTATCCTTTTTTTTTAGATGCATGGAGAGTCGTGTCACGCTAACAAGAAGTCTGAATCTCATGCTCTCTGTTTTGAATCAGAAGATTTAATTTGTCACAGTTTTTTAATCACTGGGCTTCATCACCGTGCAAATAAACTAATGGGAAGCGAACCTAAAATGCCCCTGCACCAGATGCTACTGGAAACATATGTTGACGAGCACCCCTACTGAAGTACATCGAGCTGAAATGTTGCATTGGGCCATAGCGTGGTGTTCCCTTTTCATTTTAACCACACATGTTAACAGCACTCAGGAATTCATCGCCACTAATACACTGGCATGAAGGGACAGCTTTCAGTGCTATGACCTATATAGCCTCATTATCTCAGGGATAAACTGACAGAGGAAGATATCACGTTACAAAATGAAAAGCATTACCCAGAGTTCTCTGCTGCCATTAGGCACTATTCATTGTTATCCTATTTCCTTGATATGTGATCCCAGACATAGACATCAACAGAGATTCAAAAGGCTTTAATACATGTTGTGGTTTCATGTTCAAACATGGGCGTGTGCAGCTTTTGAGAGTAAAATCAAAGTGAGGTGCGCCTGAGCATGTAGGTACATGTAGGTGTCTGGTGATGTGAGCGATGTAGAAAAGAAGACAAAGAGTATTTGCACAGGTGATTCTGCATGTGGTTACCTGCAGCTGTGATCCTTTGGGTTACCCTGTAGCGAGGCAGCAGCCCTGGCCAGGCCCAGGCGGGAGAAGGAGTGGAAGTACGTAAGCTGCGTGTCCGACAGGCTGGCCACGCCGTCTGGCTCGTCGTACACATTCTCCCAGTACGAGTTTAGCGCTGGTGTTCCCTGGGGAAATGGTCCAAACAGGTAGGTGTCCAGCTGGTTCACTATCTCCTGGTTCACACTGGCTTCAAACTTCCTGGCAAAGAAGGTGGGTCGCACAGTTTGCTGCAGAGAGGGGGATGGGGGGAGGGAGGGAGGGGTGAGATAAAAAAGAAGAAAAAAGGAGAAGACTGAGACATGGTTTTGTGCCAGGAAGACAGGGGGGAAACATGTGGTGTGTGAGATGTGTGTGAAAGTGACGTGTGAGGCAGAGAAGAGAGAGTGTGACGAGAGAAGGAAGTGAAGATAGAAGGTAGCAGATAAGGTGAATTCATTGTTATGCTCTTTAAATTCAAATAGTGAGGAAGCCCACAAGGGGTCGTGAGATACATTTGTATGTGTTGCTAGGTAATAAAAAAAAAAGGACCTGTGTTATCTAGTATCTATACCACTTATCCCTGCAGGGTCACTGAGCGCCAGCTGGCATTGGACGAGAGGCAGGGTACACCCAGGTTTCAGGAAGCTGGAGTACCCAGAGAGAACCTAACAAAGAACATGCAACCTCTACAAAGAAAGGCCCTGGTCGACCAACAGGTTTAAACTCTGCAAAACCACTGCACAAAAAAGATTCCAGTGGCAACAGAACCATACATGGTGCTTAAATTATACCAAAGTGCATGACAATCTATTGGAGTTTCAGATGTGTTTGTGTGTTTGTAGCAGCTATGAGTTATTTATTTTTTTATCTTTTACAAGTTGCTTTTCTTTTCAGACTCTAATATCTATTTTCTTTAATTGCCTGCATACATTAAAATTATTATTTTATAAAATGATCCCACATATGACATATGCAATCTATGACAAGAAGTCACATAAAACTTTTTATTTAACCTCCCAGTTGAGTAACATTTCATGAAGGCCCTTCTTCAGGAACGTGACCTATGCATTAACAGGAGCATCCGCTGGTGTGCAGACACTCTCGTCTTCTTGATTTTCGTCACTTCTGTTCAGCACCTTTTGTTTATCAAGTCTGGATGTGCAAACCTTTGTATGCTAGAAGTCACAATTAATCATTGCTTTATTTCAAGGTTTCACAAGCCTGAAAACCATTGCTCTTTGTGGTTCTTGTGAGTCAATTAAACATTATTCCAGTGAACACAATGCACTGACAGTAATTGATCATTAATTTAAAATTAACAAGGAAACCACCCAACTTAAATACCCTGTCTCATGGGAGGGAGAAAAGACACGGTTTCTTTTCTGAGTTAAATTTCTTATTTATCCATTTCTCTTTCAGACGCAGAGCAGACAGTCAAAGGAAGACACAAGAAGCTGCAGAGGAACATTTGTGGAGAAAACAATTAATGTAGCAGGAGAGGTCTTTAAAGGTTATTGCTTTATCAATGCAAGCATGACGAAGGGCTATTGGCTGCAGTTGATCAGGAAAAACTGTTTGATCACAGGAATTATAGACACAGTTAGAGGGAACTGACGAAGACAGAAGATGCCTCACATCAGAGGCTGATTCTGACAACGGTCCTTTTCTGAATTTTCCCCTCCATTCATCATTTCTCTCCTCACAGTTCTTTGTACAGTGTGTGTGTACGTGTGTGTCATCCTCCACCTCTCCATCTCCATCTAAGCCTTGTCTCTCAACCTCTCTCACCCCGCCACACTGTTGCGCGTGTGGTTGATGGTGCATCATGAAATCTGCCGCCTCCGCAGCTTGGCTTAAACACAAAGACATCTTCTCAGTCACAGTGACAACACTGTTTACAGATAGTTACCCAACGCCTTGGTGCTATTTACTAAAAAAAAAATAAGCTGTGGCACATTTCTGAGACTTTGCCGTTTTCTCAGGCTGAATCTGGCAACGGTGGGATGTTGATGCTCATTCCCACGGCACCAGTCTGCCGCGATTGGCCCGAATTATTAAATGAAACAAGGAGGAGGGGGTTTAAGTGTACACACCCTCCCAGATCTTGTTTGTTCTGATCTGTCGTATGCAAGCACCGATTCGTCACAGCCTGTCTTTCCGACAGACTTCCCAAATGCACCTCATCCTGAAACACATTACTGAACAATGATGCACTAAGACAAAAGCACATCACCACTCTCTCTCTCTCTCTCTCTCTCTCTCTCTCTATCCAGAAGGACCCCCCTCCCCTCTGTGAGCGCACTTCACCACGTGGGGGCAACTCAACAGTTGTACCTTGAATTATTCCTCTCATCTGCAAACCAAATCCCAGCCCACTGTAATTGTCAGTATCTCCCCCTCTGCGAATGTTCAAAGAGAAACTTAGATGGCGCTCTCAATGGGATATTAAATCCTATAAATACCGGGGGCCTGGCTGCTTTCTGGAAAGGCTGCTTTGTTCCCAGGGTCGGCCTTCACTGGTACCAGGGTGCCAGCCAGACCACGCAGCCCTGCCAAGGACCTGTGGTAATGTGTTGGCGCTGATTTGCCAGAGACCGAGGCAAGACAGATGGCAGACAGGTCTGGCGGAGAGAGGACTGAGGTCAGCGTAGCGGGTTTGACTGGTATGTGAGGGACAGGAGAGACCAAGTGAGTCAAAGTACTAAGAGGGTCTTTAACTGTGGCAGAATGTTTTCGATTTTTCTTGTAGCTTTTACTTTGAGGGAGCCCATTAAAAGTCAAACAGCGATACCGACATTCTCTCGGGGTCTCAGAGTCACTGCCAATCACTCAGTTTCATTTTGAAAAGCTAACTAACCCTCTTCCCCCCTTTATACCCAAGGCAGGCAGGATCTAATTACTATTAATTTTATTTTTCCCGTTCAGGGTCGCACTAATAGAGACATCGTTTTGTGTGTAGTGATTGTGAAAGCTGTGGGAACATGCTGGGTGCTGAGGGTGAGAGGACAAATCTTGAGGGCAGAGAATTTAGAGATTAGTGCTGAAGATTTCCCATGATGCACTGAGGTGTGCGTGCAGCAAACCTCCTCCAAAGCGATTTATACTTTTCATTTTGATATCAGGTTTACTGGATGTGTCTCTGATGGACATCTACTTGAAGTTAAGACCTTTAATCCAGAGTAGCTTTAAAGCCCAGGGCCTGTTTTTATCAAACTGCTAAAAGTGACATTTCGGACGTAAGTGAGACAGAGGTCAAAGCTTTTGGTCCAAGCTGTGACACAGAGACAGAAGAGAGTGCATGTCCTCAATCTAAAACCTGTCTCTGTGGACATGCACATTGGTCATTCATAGTTACTAATTGTACAACCATTCTAACATTTAGAATGGCTATACCATATTATGGTAAACATAATATTATGTTATCTGCTGTATGAGTAGTTTAAGATGCTGCTTTACTGTTATCACCAAATGTAATTTTTATAGTAGTTTGTTAAAATCATGACATGCAGAGGTGAAAGAAGAAATACTAGAGCCACAAAGTAGAAATACTCCATTACTGTACTAAAAAACCGTAATGGACGAAAGTATCATTAGCTATGAACATCTGTAACAGCTATAAATCAATATTGATGAAGTGAAAGTGTCCACGTTACAGTTGTGTGTTATCATTACCTGGAAGCGGTGGAAGTCTGCAGGCTTAAAGTCATTCGGGGAGCATCCACACCAGTCCACGATGTGCTTGTACTGGCACTTACAGCCCAGTTTACGATTCCAGTTGGTGATGCGCAGGTTGTTATCCACCATGCTGTCACAGTGGGCGCTGTTCTCCAGCACCGTGTGGAAAAACGACTGGGAAGCGGGACACAGAATGGGATTGGGAGAGAGAGGTGAAACCGGGAGAGACGAAGCAGAGACAGAGTGAAGATTAAAAAATTTAGAAAATTGTATTCCTTTTTTTTTCTTTACGCCGCCAGTACCCACAAATGAAAATAGAATTGAAGCAGAGGATGGCGTTTCACAGAAGTTTTTGATAAACATCCAATTTTCCAAGTCAGCCTTTACACCTTCAGCTCACTTCATGATTAATGTTGGCCTCCGACTTCCTCCTCTTCCCTTGAACATCTAACACAGACACTGAAAAGAGACCAGTGTCTACGGTTTCTATAACAGGACAGTGCTCAATTGTCACAGGTTAAGAAACACTTGACATACACACACAGATACACACACAGACAACTGTGCATCTGTTTTAGGGAGAAAAACGAGAAGGAGGAACCTTTGTTCAGTCCACCTGGGTTCTCCTGTCTTACCTCAGCAGGCAGCAGGGTGTAGGCGTAGAATCGTTTCATGTTGGTGACCAGGTCGTCCTTGGAGTTCATGACATATTCCACGAACATGCGGTTAAGCAGGAACCAGTCGGACCCGCCGTCCACCGAGATGCCGTCTGGGATTTTACGATCGCCCAGCCGCCACATGTGGGTGTCGCACTCGAAGAACAGACGATCCAGACCCTGCTTACGGATAAACCTAAGAAACACACAAACGTAGAGTTATATCAGCGTCTGAGAATAAATATACACATAGCTAATAATTAATCGGAAAAAAATTAACAAAATCTAAGAGAAGAGTGGTCTGTATCAGCAGGTTTCTTTTGCATTTTTTTCGTTACTTTCCCTAAATGGAAGATTTTTTTGTGGATGTTGAGAATCAGCTGTTTCGTGTGTATCCAAAGACAACTTTCCTTGGCCTTAAAGGTTCAGTGTGCAGAATTTAGTGACATCTAGAGGTGAAATTGCATGTTGCAGCAGAATACTCCTCATCTCACCCTCTCCTTCCCAACATGAGAGAGAACCTGTGGTGAACTTCAGTAAATATTAACTTTTTAAATATAAAGATCTATTCTGTGGTAAAGAAAGTAACAACTCATATTATTTAGATGAAACACACCAGTGAAAACATCACTAGGATTATTTTATATTCAATTTCTGCCAAAAATCCCTTTCACCCAAATCTTACACACTGAACTTTTAAATGACTTGACAAATACGCTCACAGTTTTATCCACAGTAAGAAGAGCGACACCCTGCATACATAATGGATGGTGTTATCCTGTGAACATATCGAGTGTTAGAGACTGGGAGTCAAATTCAGGTCACCCAGGTCAAAATGTTCCCTCTGTTCCTCCGACGGGTGACAAACACTGTTGATGCACTGACCTTGTGCTTCACAGGAGCTCACACACATACACAGAGGATATTTATACTCTTACGCATTTTCAAGCATTTGTATTTGTTTTATGCAAACATAAGCATATACTAGTCGATTATCAAGTTCATTGCTGCTGTTAATATTAAATTAAATCAGGAAAGAAACCCACTCCATCATACAGCACTGAATAAAAACTGTGACTGCAAACACAAAGCTGAGTCACGCTGACTCATGCATCCATGCTGGATTTTTTTCCCCTCCTCTTCACGTGTTCTTGTGTATTTTTGCTCTCAGAGTTGGTGGCGGCGGTGACTGGTTTGCCACCGGTGGCGTGACGAGGCAGGAAGCAGAGGTTGGCAGCAGAGATGGACGCTCTGGCTGTGACCTTGCAAACTAACCCCACCAAGAAGGTGAATTAATGAAGCCACAGATGGCAGCTAATTGTATCATGATTCGTTAACCACGCCATGCTGGCGGGAGTGTGCTCCGTGTGTGTGCGAGTGTCAGAAAAAGACAATTTATCATAGAGAAACAATAAGGCAGTGAGGTTGTGGGGAGATTAAAGTGATAATGCACAACAAACATGTTTTGAGCTGTAAACTAAATTATATGACTGTTCTTTGATTAAACACAATGCTGGTATTACATTTATAAAAGATCTACATTCATGGGTTGAACATGGCTTGGGGGGCATTCACGATGTCTGTGTGGGAAAAGTGGGTGGGGGATAGGCGTGTCTTAACCCCGCCTCCCAGCACTGCATTTAAAATGTATTTCCTGAATTTCCAAGAAGAGGAACCTCAATCAAAACTAAGGGGCGAGGTACGAAATAGTTGCATCTTACCTGGCGTTGTCCCGGCCATGTGACTTGATGAAGTTCATGTCTCTGTATTTGGACAGGAAGGCCACCAGCTGGTTATTGGTCCTGAAATGGAAAAGATAGACTTAGCTTTGACAGGGACACACAGGGTTAGAATAAGCTAGAGGCACAACCTTGATATTTTCTGGCCGTGCTTAAGGAAACAATGTGACTTTTATGGAATTAATTAAAATGTTACTGTGGACAAAAATCCTTAAACATTCAATAATGATCTTCTCTGCCACGAGGGGGCAGTGAAACCAGGGGACAATGATATATCATCACCATTTAACATCATCATTAATCTGGAGTTTTGTCTCTGGCCGACAATATTAACTGTTTTATCTCCCTTTTTGATCTCTACCAACTCCACAGGGAAATATCTGGGATTTTAGCAGCTAAGTGTAGCATCATGTCCATCAACCATCATATAAATCCAACCCCGATCTTTGGCCCAGCATAATGCTAGCATAGCTGGTGTTTTGTTTCCAAGAAAAGGGAGTAAATTAAAATTCATTATTGTCCTTCCTTTTCTTCCTCATAGTCATCTAAGTTTTGAACATCTTATCACAAAGCTGATCCAATCTGGTTTTCATCATCTTAGATATATATATTTTAAAAATAATATTACAAATCCTATATTCTCTTACTCATAAAGACACAGAGGCCAGGTTGCATGCTTTTATTTAGTCATGCCTTGATTATAACCTCTGCCAAGGAGGTTATGTTTCATCTGTTATTTAACAGGATTAAGCAAAATCTACTCAGCTGATTTCTGTGAAAGTCTTTGGGGGGGTGGGGCATGACTAAGAGCTGAACCAATAAAAATTGTGTGACTTCAGGATCAGGAGGGGGGGATCCAGGATTTTTTCTCGCCTTCTAAAACTTGGCAAGATAGGTTCGTTTTTCAGAGAATGGATATCTACGAGTGTGTGAAATTTGGTAAAAATCCAATAAAAAATCGGGACCTGGTGAATTTTAATAATGAGACTGCTGGGCCTTGGTGGAGGTAATATTAGACAAAAATTGCCCAGACTGTGCAGAGCTCAGCAGAACCTATAGACACATGTCCACATCACTCCTGGTTTAGCTTCACTGACTCCCATGCTCAATGTTTTAGATTTCACTGTTAACGTTTAAGTTTCACATGACATTTCCACCCAGTTACATCTATGACCTTTCAGTACCATATGAACCAGGGCATGGTTGGGGAACCTCAGGCAGAGGTCTCTCATCTCTTGCAGGGACCCGGTTGAATACGGGGACAGAGAGTTTTCAGTCAGGGCCCCGAGGCTCTGGAACGACCTGCCTGAGGAAATGTGTCTGACTGAGTCACTGAGATCCCTTCAATGCCCTCTGAAAACTTTTTTACAGTGTCTGCTTTATCTTATTTGCCTTTTTATACAGTTTTATGATTTCTTTTATCTTATGTCACTGAATTGGTTTCATCTTTTATCATTTTATCATATTTATGTTAATTTGCTGCCATGTGAGATTTTAATTCAACAAATGTAAATAATAATAATAATTCCATATAAATCATTTTGGTCTCCCAAGCGACATTGTAATGATTTGATAGAAATACCTTCCCCAGCAACACTGTGGATATAAGAGAGCTGGATACGGCACCACCACTCAGACTTGCTGCTGTTTTCCCTCAGTGTTCACCTGGTTGTGCTATGAAAAATTCCCCCCGGCACAAAAAGCTTTTTCCCTGTTGACCACCATTATAAATGACTGCAGCACTCTTCCAACCCCAGAACTGTAAACAAGGTTGTTTTTACTCTTGGTTTATGAATCTTTCATCCAGATTTAATCAGAAAGTGACTTTTACTTTGATGACATGCAGGGCACAAGTTGAGTGATGGGTCCGACATGAACAACAGATTTCCTAACAAAGTTCAAGCACTTTTGTTTTTTTTGGTCTGTGATCTCCTCACTGGACTCAGTACTTGTCTCTGTGCACCAATGAGAATCACTCATTCACTGTCAATCAATCCACACCCACATGATGGTCTAATGAAGCAGATTAGTTATGTTTTTTTAAAGTTAATTTTAATAAATGATAAACAACAATTATGGATTTGATCCTGCAGTCATTTCAACTTTGAACTTTTATTGGTTGTTCAGTCATGAACTTTCAAACACTCCATCCAAGACACAAAATCTAACATTTTCTTTTGAATATAGTTTCTCAATTCAATGTTCAAAATGCAAAAGTTATAAAACATTCTTAAAATTAAATCTACTAATTTCAGACACTGGGCTGGAGGTTTCACATTATCACATCATACTTGTGTTAGTTGCCTGTTAATTTCCTTCCAAACAAGCTGTGGTGTGACAAAATCCTGCTTATACATAAGTGTAAAAGTCACACTGAAGGGGAGAAACTATCCTTCAGATAAGTGAGAAAACTGCCTATTATCGGCTGCATATGCATCATGTGACACAGTCAAGCTCCAACATCAAAGTTTTTGGGGTCATTTCCAAACCCTGGCTGCTCTCGGTGTCAGCCTCTTAGCCCCTGCAGACTGTTCAAACTATTTAGGATCATTCAAAAGATCGTGCTATCTGTGAATTTGATGAATGACTTCACGCTGCTCTTACATTGTGGAGCAGTCTACTTCCTTACATGCAGGCCAGACAGGCTAAAAGCTTTGCTCTGCAGGCTCTGCCCCAGTCAATGGCTCTAACATTTCATCTGTGGTGGAGCTTTTCATGACGGCTTGGCTTGGCTTTCTGAAAGAGCAGCAAGGCTCTGGTAAAAAGCTCAAGGATCAGTGGGGGGAGGGACAAGCGCATATTAATGTCATTTTCTCTTGAAGGAGCAATTTCACAGCCTGGGGGGCTTATCTTAGGAGGTCCTGAGCCATAAAGCCTAACTGATGATGTGCTGTACAGACACATCACAGCCCTCTCTGTCTCTTCTTCCCACACACACGCTCGCATGCTGTGTATCTGCTAGTACGCACACTGACAATACAATATACGCTACATGCACAGAGACAGGCACGCACACTCATACGCACACACACATAGCGCAAAGGGAATTCATGTCAAGCTCCACATTTGCCACCTGAGTGGTCACCCCATCCACTGGGTCTAATTTGCTTACTGTCAGCCCTGTGGCTGCTCTGTCTCACAGTCACACTCACTCACACACACACA